CTGAAATACGACTCAAAACTTACTCACCTACTGTGGTATGGTTTTGAATTAAACACAATCTCATAAATCAATACAGTTGACTGCATCTTGAAACACGTGTTGTTATAGAGCAGTGTTATTTATTGTGTAGCAGTGTTCCAAGTGTACAGTGAGTGAGTGAGTTTAGTTTCACGCCACACTCAGCAATATTCCAGCTATATATCGGTGGTCTGTAATTATCGAGTCTGGACCAGACAATCCAGTGATCAACATCATGAGCATCGATCTGCGCAACTGGGTTCCGATGACATGTGTCAACAAGCCAGCGAGCCTGACCACCCGATCCCGTTAGTCGCCTCTCACGACAAGCATGGTTTACTGAAGGCTCATTCTAACCCGGACCTTCACGGATCCCAAGTGTACATGTGCCATTGTGTGCGTGCGTATGTGTGTGTTATTTAAGCTTAGGTTAGATATATAACCTGGAAGGGTACCTCCAGGTCCGACAACCATATGGGCCTTTCCACTATATTTTGACCAAGGGAGTTAGAAAATCTTCTTGAGTCTTTTTCTAAGGTCTTTAAAGGGAGTTCACTTTTGCCTCTCATCTCATATTACATCTCAAGTCACAAGAGGACCAGAATTTGTGTGTGGATTCATTCTTGTCCTGGATAATCAGCCTAAGATGGACACTTGGCCAGTGTTGTAGTGAGTGAAAACTACTCCGACCATTGTCTTTATTGCTGTAATCTATGGGACGTAGAGGGCAAAGAGAGGACGTCAGAGACCAAGGATCCCACCAGCACGGCACCCGTGAAGATCCGGATTAGAATTGGTCCCCAGTAACCAATGCTTGTCGTAAGAGGAGACTAACGGGATCGGAAGGTCAGGCTCGCTGACGTGATTGACTCATGTCATCGTATCCCAATTGCGTAGATCGACGCTCATGCTGCCGCCATGTAGCTGGAATATTGCTGAGTGCGGCGTTAAACAACAAACAAACCAAACCCAGCCCACCAGCACGGACAACTTGGGACAGCTCTCGATGTGGAATTGAGTGCAATATATGCCAATGGTAACAATAACACCTTTGTCAACAGTATGCCATGTAGGTGTCGTGCATGTCTCACCCAACTAAGTGGAGATACCACCCATTGATCCCCACGCACATGTTAATCTAAATGACATTCTCTGTCATTACACTTTCACGATCGGTTCATTTGTTCCTCTATATTTTGTCGGTGGTATATGTACATCATTAAACGACATTGTACAGCACACAGTGTACATTAAAAGACACATATGTGCTTCATTAAACGACATTACACAAACTAACAAGGACACACTGTGCAACACTGTTTGAAATTGATTTTCTCTACATCAGATAAAGCATGAACAGACACCGCTGGATTCTCATTGATTACCAGAAACAAATAGGTTTCTCTATACACCATACGCAATTAACTGTAGTCTTAAGTCGTTTTTGTGTCCTTCACCGCATGGGTTCCGTTTTCAAGACGTTTTGCGTGATGGGATTGATGCGAGCTTGGTGTATTTAAACAACAGTCAAAGACACCCGATCCTTTTGTAATTTCTCTTATTCTATTCTTGGACCTTTGATGGGGACCACGTTACAAAGTTATCACCTGCCATGTCTATTTCCGTCTGTTTTATTTATATGTGACAGTGCCATTCTATGTCCATGTCATGGACGTTAGTAAATGTATCCATGCCGCGTGTTTGTGGAAGGTCAGATATTTTCAAAGATTCTTCGATTCGACATTGATAGTTATAGTTTTCCAACAATTTTGAAAGCAATGTCATTTTTATTGATTTTTATGTGATGTTTCATAAATTTCTGTTTGCTTTTGTATGTAGATTTTGTAAATGGTCGGAGTTGCAGGTAAAGCAGAACATGATTAACCTTTCGGCGAACGCCTCGTGTCATCACTGATTTCCGTGGTCCTTTCATATACTTATCGAACCAAATCATCATCATCATCATCATTTCATTCCGTATAAATGGCCATAGAACCAACAGTACAACATGTGTAAAATATGAGTAAACATATATACTGCGCCACTAGCAAAAAGTATTTGAATTTTAACATTATGCATTCACCTTCTCAATGAAAATACAAAGGTTAACTAGCTTATCATTATCAACATTGGTGAACCAGTAGATCAGTTTGTACATATTTGGGTGGTAATAATAACCCAAATGGAATGTCTTTCAAGATAGTAATTCTGTTGCCTTGACGTTTGATATAGTATTATATGTTAACGTTTTTCGTTAAATTCCTGAAAGTTATTAAATGATATCTGTTATGTGTTGTCTCTTGTACTGTGTGCGATAATGGAAAAATCTAGATCCTACCTACCTGATCCAGTGACGGAACTGAGTCACCCAAACAACGCATATACTTGTGTCAGTTTCGTACAGATATTGGACATGAGTTACGGTATGTAACGTAACATTCAGCGATATTCGAGCATAACCATGGCAGTCTGTAAATAATAGGGTCTCAAGCAAACAGTAATTATATGATATACTATTGTTATGTGGTAGTGATATTAAAGGGGAGTCTTGCCTCTGACCTCACATTACATCTCAAGTTACAAGAAGACCAGTTCTTTGTGTGACATTTTGCCAGGGCTATTGTGCAAGTTTGATTATTGTTTCTGAGAGGTGATTATTACCACTGTTGTCTTTCTTGTTATAATCACTGCACTTATATTTCATCACCTTTGAATTTGTAAATTCATTTATATTTTGTTTTGCCATAGTTATACCTTTGTTGTGAATAGTATTAAATTTGTAAACATTAGACTTAAATTAATTTAAGAATACAGTTAATTTCGTCATGTTGTTTTAGCTGTTTGCTAATTTCACACCTAGCTATTTTACGGGCTGAAGCTCGGACTTTTAGTTCCAAATTAAAGACCAAGTACATGCGTATTTAAAATGCGATTCTGTTTATTCTCTCTTGTTGCCATGTCCTGAATCGTATATCACATCATGTCAGATTAATGTGGCAGGAACGCAGTAAGAGACGGAAGCTGACGTTCTGGCGTCTTTGACCTTTACCGTTTAGCGCTAGAATGTATTCCAATGACGCATCCTCTTAGAATTTTCTGTAGGCCTACCTTTCATTGGTTTGGAATGGTTTGGAACTGTCTTGAATTCGAAGCTTATTACACATTAGGCTAGGGGGGAAAGAACATTAAAACAGCAATATATTCTGCATGAGGAACATTTTTAGGGTCGGACTTCTCCTGATCAGATAAAGACTTGTTGACAATTCAAATGACGAACGCAAAAACGATCTATGCTTCTCAGGAACACAATAACGAGTATAATGTTTTGTAGTGACTATTTTCTTCTTATCTGCGTTTTGTAGTTTCTGTGTGACCGAACTAGAAGATAAATTCCATATTACATTAGTATGTCCTCTTTACAATGAGTATCGTGCTAAATATTTACCTGAATACTGTCGTAATTACCCTCATGTTCAAATGTTTATTGAATTGATGAGAACAAGCGATAGGAATAGACTCTTAAGACTTTGTATCTTTCTTCAACAAATGTTTGTATTTCGATCGAAACAAAAAATCTCTGTGAACACATAATCGTATCAATTGTAATAAGATCTATCGTTTTGCACATGTTGTACTGTTGGCCTCATGGTCATATATACGTAATATAGGATGGATAGAACAATGTTTTTTACTCTGACAAGGGATTATTGTCACTTATCCGTCTGGGACTTTGCCGCAGGATGTTGTTTGCTATTGTAGTAATCTTGGAGTGGAACCGAAGCTTGCCTAATCACTCAGAATAATTGGGTCCCTCGTTGTAAATTTGATGTCAGTATTGGCTGTTATGATATATTCATGAGAAAAGCTGCGTTGAGGTCAAGGAGAATGTGTTGCAAGTCTCCTAGAGTAGATTAGGTCTTTATTAAGGGAAATGGGAGTTGGATTGTGAAGACACTCCAGGCATGGAGAGGTTTTCATAGAGGCTTGACTAACTATGTAAGCGTATGGGTGCCACATGCTGAAAAACAATTATTATTCAACGTGGATATATACCTACCAACGACAATTGACCCATAAGGCATAGATAACTATGTTAGCCAATCAGAGCGCTGTATGTCTTGTATCGCCTCGGCAGCAATTACCGCAATATGTTCTCGTTTAAACACATCTGTCTGAAACTAATCGATATTAATGGAAGAGTGTGTATGTACATGAAAGTTAAATTAGCGCCACCTTAAACAGTATTTCATGTATAACATAGTATGTCTGCTGGATTGGGAGGAAAGCCCGAAATGATGCAGGTCATTGATGTTTACCACTTAGGTAAAACCCAGTCACTCTGGCATGTTTCAGAAATATGTAGAACAAAACCTTCCAACATACGATCATTTAAGCTTGAAATACCATGCACTTCAATGACTGTTGGGTAAGCAGTGCCCAGTGTTGTCATTGGAAGCTCGTCATGTAACATGTAATCAAATATTACAAGATTATATATCATTGCAGCTGAAGGGATTTGATCTATTTTGTATAGTGTCTTTGCTTGTATTAGGTTTAATTGTTCATATTTATATGCTAAAATATATCTTACTATGAACATTGAACATATGTTAAAACTTCTACACGTCGGTTACCTAAGGCACAGGGCAATATTAAAACATTATCCCTTGGCCAGAATGATATTTGGTAAAAAGAACCTAACGAGAGGCATTGTAATGTGAAGACAAGGCCAATTAGAACAATTGGATGATGTCGCCAAAAAGTTTATAAGAGGTATCTACAGACCCGTGTCAGTTATATTCTGACACTTAAAGTTATTTCCATAGACTTACATGTTAATTTAGTGTAGCATGAATAATTTTCATGAACTTAATTTTCGTAAGATCCCAGTCAAAATTTGCACATGTGTGAGGAATCATCTTACCTACAGTCACATAATTCCTGTTTAATTTACCTTGCTTATTTTATCGAATGACAACAACATGGCGGCCTATGGGATTGTGCATTGTGGAACCATACGTAAGTTGGTAAATGCGATGTCATTAGTTAAAGAGTGGTCGGAAAATTGAACTGAAAATATGTGCGCAGAGTAGAGATGATTTCAAATTTGCCTTACAAATTTTACAAAGATCTATTCTAAACTCACTTCATGAACATTATTTATGCTACACTGAAATAACATGTAAGTCTATGGAAATTATGTCAAGTGGCCGAATATATATGACACGGGTCTGTAGTTGAGGGGAAGAGAGCTTCGAAGACCTTCCCACATTAGGAAGACCTTCAACTGCTGCAACTGAGAAAAACGTTGATAACATACATACCATGATAATGGCTGTTAGGCGACGTTCCATGTGACATACATCTTTATGAGAGAGTTGAAAACATTGTGAGGAATAAACTGGGCATACCAAACATTTCGGCATACTCTGTCCATCGGATACTCACTTCTGATCACAAACGCCTCTGGTTCATCATCTTACTTGAGAAGTTGCAGCGGAACAGGCGCAAAAAAGTGTGTGTACTTTTTCACAAGAGCTGCACATGTGCACAAGAAGTAGTTGTCGAACCGACAGTGTAAGAATTCCACCGCTTGCAAAACTTGCAGACAGAACTGACTGGTGGGCGTTATTCAAATAACGATGTACATTCTGTGGACGTTTGAAGCCGCCAGGAGGAAGCCTCCAGCAGGGCGAACATTGTTGGCAGAGTGAGTGGACCTCGAATGTGGTTATATTGAAAAATGATTAGGTCATCACACCTTCAATGTACTAGTGAATGAGTGAGTTTGGTTTAACGCCACTTTTAACAGTAATCCTGGTGCTGTGAAACCTAGAAACATTATTGGACAAATCGGGATTCGAACCAACAATCATAGGTTTCTCGCATGCCCATGGGGCCCAAATGTAAGAAGCGAATATGATGATTTTAACTGATCTGAGGCACAATAACCCATTTGAGAGCTAGAATCGAGAATAGGTAAGACATGCAATTCATGATGGAGGTTGACCATCGATCTTCTCCTCTTCAGGAAGATCGTTATCCATTACACCACGGAGGCGAGCAGACCGTGAAGTGATTGAATAAGTTAAGTGGATGTCCTTAGATTGTCAGAGAAAACATTTTTCTGTTACGTTAATAATAGATAAAACAGATTCAGTCATGACATTAGAATACCTTCTACTTGAATCACCAGGGTTTCATTATGCATACTAGGATGTTTTAAAATAGCTCAGCCAAGCACACACAGGGGCACAAACTAATCTGTTGAACACAATGCAAATGCAGTCACCAGTTTCCAAACTTCATTTGCGAGATTGGATTACCTATGCTTTGGTCTTAAAAACTTGGGACATAGAACACCATAGGGTCATACATTATTTAGATAAAAATCCTTTATGTTGCCACATTACATGATGTCAATGGAGTAACTTTATAAGACCTTCATTCATCCTGTAATTGGCTGGGAATGTAGGGATGTGTATTATGTAATCTTACAAAGTAATTTGATTCATTGAAACGGAGACTGTCATATTGAATCAATCATCATGTGGAGTTTACGACTCGTTCAAAACGAGTCAATTATTCAGCTGAAAACAGCCAAAAACATTGTGAAGAACTTTCTTTACCTTCATCAACTTTTCAAACCCCATCGACACAGGACATTAGCTTATCAATGAAGTTAAACGTTTCATGAGGCACGCTTGAAAAACACGTTCCTCTCGTTTTATCGCGTATTCTTTCTCACTGGAAATGGAAGTCTGTCTGAATCTACCAGCCTCTTACAGCCCCACTGCACTCATTCTTTGAACGAAAAACAAATTGACACTTCGCAGCTCACTATGGATTTCTGGTAATTCTTCTGTGAAAACAGAGAAGCTGTGTAATTCAATCACGATACCTAATATCACTGCCTGTCAAAATAAATTCAGTGAGAAACCTTTAACGATTTCTGGGAAGGGAGTTGCGCCCCTTAGGCGTGGCAGAATCCTATGGTCGTTGGTTGGAATCACAGATTTGCACTGATTGTGATCCTTGATGTCTACACATGTGATCGTTGCTTCACCAAAGTGATACATATCATGAATCTGCATTACATCAGGCTTTCCCCCTACATTAAGCAACACTGCAAGAGTAATGACTGATGCACTGATAAGAATATCGACAAAAATCATTTGTATTGTGATAGATTTGTATAAAAAAATATAACCAAGCATATACGCAGCACACAGTTGTACAGCTGTAGCAGGATTTGTGTCCATCCAACTAATTTGTGATAGATTCCTATAAAATATATAATTAAGCATAAGCACAGCATACAGTTGTACAGTTGAAGCAAGATTTGTGTCAATGCATCCAAACTGAAACAAATGAACAGATGAAGTGTCTCCCATCCACCATCTGCTGGATATTACATATTTGCTTGTTTATGGCGACAATTAGAAATTTTCTAGATATATTACCGCGGTCTGTTTATAATCGAGCTCAGACCAATCCAGTGATTGATATCATGAGCATCCATATAAGCATTTGGGATGCGATGACATGTGTCAACCAAGTCAGTGAGCCTCACCAACCTATCCCATCAGTCGCCTCTTACGACAAGCTTGGGTTGCTGAAGACCAATTCTCACCCGGATCTTCACGGGTATAGTTGATGAGGAGTTCAACCAGCCTCATTTCCTCTTTCTAAAAAACGAGCCACTGTATTATTATAATGAAAAGAACTCTTTGGAATAGGCCCATTTACAGCCGCAGAAGAATTCCAGCAACCAAACCTGATCTTGTCCTTTTTCATTAAGCCAATGAATTTATTTATATCCTTGAATTTTCTGTCCCTTTTGACAGCAACGTGTTTCGAAAGGTTCAGGAAAGGCATGCTAAATATGGGGACCTCGCCTTTGAAATGTCTCACTTGCATCCCAAGAACACTGTCGTCAGACTCCCCATTGTTCACAGTGCTCATGTTTTGGTATCTCCTGATCTCTTTGCGCAGATCAGGAGAGTGCCCGGGTTCTCCACCGGGAGCACCGCCCTTCTGACACTCTGGGTAATGCAGAAGGCTGCAGTGTTGGGAGTCTACATATTCTCCGGAAAGTTCTTGGTGGGTTCGACTAGACAGCGTTTCCTGGGAGAAGTCACATTAGCTACCAGGACAGTGTGTTTAGGGGGCAAGGGCCCTGAGCCGATGATGAGCCTTACCAGCCTGACCGTGCCAGGATCACCCGAACTCTCTCTGCTGAATTTTTCATCTAAATCTGTAAAACATAATAATCATCATTTGATCCGTCATAGCAATGACATAGTGATGCATCTGGAGAGAGGACCATGCAGAACATATGATGACATGTCATTATTACATTCCTTCCCCCTTCGATTGTTTCGGGAAACAGATGAGAATGCATGGAATGTTTTCCAGCTTGAAAGCAATCCTACAGGAGCTTCTCAGTCCATTCGAGGGATGAAAAGCCTCACAAATAGCCTCATGACAGTGAATGCAATTTGTCGATCTGGATTGTTTCATGCAAAATGCATGCACATGGGGTACCCCACTACCGCACACTTATCCCGCTAATACACTGCGCCAGACAGTGGTTCTAATGATGAATATACACTTACATCAAACACAGTTTGATCATATGGGACAAAGGGGTCGTCACTGATATATCGCTGATATATTCATATAGCTTTCGCGGCTTTTTTGACGATTTAAATTTACACTTCACTCGCACGTTAACTTTCAGTGGTTAACTTGTATAGTTTTCACCTTTATGCTAAATAGAATTTGTTCCGGAGGATGATTGAGACTCTTTCTCCTCTTGCATTGACGTTTATGCAATCTGAGTGATCAATGAAAACGACGGTAGTAATTCTATGATGATTTAATTTCATGTAATGGTTGTATTCTAGTTTGACCACCACAAACTTCGTGATTTTATCAAATTGAATGTACACATTCATGCAGTTCAAGGACAAAATCTGCGAGGTAAAATCATTTGTAATGTGTTGACTATGCTTACTGTGTGACGGGGTTGCGAAACATATGATCTACGCAGTATGCGTGATACTTGAACACAGTTAATACATAAAGCAATTACGAAATCAACACAGTTTCAGTCATCATGCAAACTGGGATTGATATTTTGTTCATTGCTAGAAAATTATAAAAACAGAAACATGCTTCCTCAAATGTTATTTTGGTTTTAAAAGTATTACGTCCTTCCAGTGGTGATTGAAATAGAGCAGGGCATTAGTTTTTGTACAAACTGGGATGTTTTGTTTGTTGCTGAATGTTTTATAAACAGTAAATGGTTCCTCCTAAGGCTTTTTACTTGTTGGGTCTTAAAAGTAATTGTCCTTCTAATGGTTTGTGAAGATGCGTTAATTTGAATGGCATGGAACATATTGTTGCTGGATTGATGACAAACATGATATGAAAACCTTCCAATGCCTTTCCAATGTCTTTTAGTAGGCCTCTTTGTGTTGTTCAGCTGAAAAGATGAATAAAAACCTGAAAGTCAAAGAGAGGAGAAACGAATTGGGTTCTTGTCTGAGATAACAATTTTAGGCCTACAGATATCATACCGTGAAAAGTACATGGTGATATTCTAGCCGGATGTTTTTCATTTCATTAATGTACAGAAGCAGCATTATAGGATAATGACCCTTTTCACGATCTCCTGATGTAATCTTTTCCAGCTACCCATTCATGTACTTTCATCTCTGAATCGCCTTTTGCTTCTTGCGGAATCTGTGACATAACAACATTGGGTTGAATAGTGATACAATAGTCCTTGTTGGGAGATGTTGTCAACATGTTCTGCCTAGAGTATTCTGATGCTACAATCAGGGTAGAGGACAGGGTTAGCGCTCTCTTATGGTGTTTTGAGGTGTGTGACAGATGGATGGGAACTAACGGGTGAGTTTGGCTGAAGCTTCTGGTCTCAGTATGGGCTGACTGGTTTTATGCATCTGCATTCGAGACTCCGAGCCGACCAGTCCTTGTTGTACCCGTTAATGCCAGCGCCAGGAAAGGACCAACAAGTACCATATTTTAACGTCTTTTCGTATGACGCAGCCGGGGATCGAACCCGTGACCTTCCGCTCTCGGAAATGTCAAGCCTCAAACCAGTAAATGTAAA